GTGTGGGGTTGGACAGGGAGGAGAGCCAGTGGATGGGAGGGCATTGGTGTGGGGTTGGACAGGGAGGAGAGCCAGTGGATGGGAGGGCATTGGTGGGGTTGGCTTGCGAGGTTTAGGGTCCCCTAAAGGACACGTTCTCCTTCTGTTGGAGAAGACTTGAAAAGCATAAAGTCCCTAGCTATAATCTCTCATCAGGGAGACCCCAGAGAACCCAGCGCCTGGGGATGCATCAGGGTGGCATCTGTCCTGCCAGCCCCCAAAGGCACAGCCATCCCCTACCCACAGACACCAAGCATTAGTGCTGGATTGGGGCTCCATGGACTGTGAGCTAGAGATTTGAGGAAGGATACCCAGAGAGGGCAMGCCATTACTCAAGATCATACAGCATTCCCAGGGCCCAGCAGGGAGCAGGGCTGGTGTCCATGAATCTTCTTTCTCCCCAGTTTCTGAGACTTTCCCTCAAGACAACTCGGGGGACCAGCTGGAGCCTGYGCCTGAGCAAGGAGCTGAACAACCAGATCGGGAGCTTTGATAGCCCCTCTTTGGAAAAGGTTTGTCCCCACAGCACAGAGCTTTTGGATAGGGAATGGGGAGTGCAGAGGGTCCCCACGTGCGGGAGACCAGCAGGACCCTGGCTGTTTGCAGTTCCTGGGAGAAGGGGCGGTTGGAATAGTCCAGAGAGTCTTAGTTTTTTGTTCTGTTCCATCTGGGTCTTTGATTTTTTTATGTTCCAGATTCTGGTTGGTAATCACATGAAAAATGATTTGAAAATCCTTTTTTTTTTTTGTACAAAACTAAACAATTGTTGAAAGAAATCAGGGAAGGTCTCAATAAGTGGCAAGCACCTGTGTTCACAGACATAGGATTATAAAGATGGTGATTCTCCCCAAATTTATGTACAGATTCAACTCCTCCATAATCCCAGTTAGCTTCCCGCCGCCTCGTACACTGACGATCTAATCCTCAGATTCATATGAAAATGCAAGGGGCCCAGAGTAGCCAACAAAACTTACTTCCTGATTCCAATCTTCCGACCCAGCTGCAGTAAGTAAGACAGGGTGGTCCTCACATAAGGATAGACAGGAAATAGCACTGAGAGTCTAGAAATAAACTCTCACATTTATGGTGAATAGATTTTTCAATAAGGGTGCCAAGACAATTCAACAGGCAAAGAATAATCTTTTCAACAAATGGTGCTAGGACAATTGGATGTCCACGGGTAAAAGAATGGAATSGGGACCCCTTCCTCACACCATACACACACATTAGAATGGGTAGTTGGCAAAAATAAGAGCTGAAAGTGTAAAATTCTTAGAAGAAAACTTAGGCATAAGACTTCATGACTTTGGGTTAGGAAAGACCTTCTGAGATAGGACATCAGAAAAGAATAGGTGATAAGAGAAAGAAAAAAATAGAATGAGCATCATAAAAATTAAAATCTCTTGCACTGAAAAYAATACCATTGAAAGGATGACCCACAGAATGGAAGAACATATTTGCAAATCAAACATTTGTACAACGGTTGTAACACACACACACACAAACACGTGTGCACACASACACAGCAACTTATTAATACAAAGACAGGTTAACTTAAAAAAGGCATGTAAATAGACTTTTCTTCAAAGATGATGTATATATGGTCAGTAATCACACGAAAAAATGTTCAAAGTCACTACTACCATTAGGAAATAGAAATCCTAACCACAAAGAAATGTCACTTAATACCCACTGGGACAAAAGAGAGATGATAATGCGTGTTGTCAAGGGTGGAGAGATGGAACCTTCATATGTTGCTTTGTTTGTTGCTGGGGGGGATATAAAGTGGTGCAACAGCTTTGGAGCATAATTTGGCATTTTGTTAAAATGCTGAATACATAGTTACTATATGATGTAGCAATTCTACTCCTAATTATTCACAGCTAGAAGAAATGAAAACCTATGTCCACATAAAACTTGTACATTAATTGTTCATTGTATCATTATTCACAATATCCCCAAGGTGACAACAACCTAAATGTCCCTTAGTGGATGAAAAGATAAACGAAAATGGTACATCTATGCAATGGAATAGTATTCAGCCATGAAAAGATAGGAAGTACTAATACATGCCACCTCTAAAGTGAACCATTAAAACAAAGAAGCCAGATGCAAGGGAACACAAAGGACCATGTGTTAAATGATTCTATTTATATAAAATGTTCAGAATAGACACATTTCGAGGTTAAAAAATAGATTCGTGGTTTTCAGGGGCAGGAGGACTTTGGAATGACTGCAAATGGGTATGGAGTTCCTTCTGGGGTGACAAAATGTTCTAAATTTAAGTAAATATGTGAATGTGGTTGCACAACTCTGAATATACCCTTGAATTTGTATGCCTTGGATGGATGAGTTTTATGGCATGTGAACTGTATCTCAATTTAGATGTTTTAGAAAATGTTTTTAAGTTACCAACACAAATTCTATTTGTTAAATATGTTTTCTTCCTAATTGAGTGTGCAAAATAACAGCAAAGTGTGCCTTACAGAGTTCTTCCACTAGCTGAACACTGCAGCTTTGTAGGCATATGGTTAAGTAGGATGATTTAAAGCCCATTTGAAAAAAGTTGTAGGCGGCATTGAATAAGCAAGTGCATGAAGTTCAACGTGCCACAGTAACTCAGCTAGCCCAAGCAAGTACATATGTGAATAAACAGATTTTTAAGAAGAATTTCAGTGGCTCAGGTAACTAGATACAACATAATAAGGAACCCCATGGAGATCCTCCCTGTCCTCCCTCTCCTGCTGACATACCCAGGAAGCAGGGGGTAGATGGTGACAGATGCGTACAGCCAGTCCTTTCCCAAAACTAGTGTGCAAAAACCAAAAAAATCATCTTTCCAATATGCAAATAGAACAGCAAAATAAAGTGAAAAAAGATTCCATTCAAAGACCCAACATGATGGGACACATAAGCAAATAAAATCAGGGCCATATGAGCCAGGCATGGTGGCCCACGCCTGTAATCCCAGTGGCTTGGGAGGCTGAGGCAGGAGGATCATGAGTTCAAAGCCAGCCTCAGCAACTTAGTGAGGCCCTAAGCAACTTAGCAAGGCCCTATCTAAATAAAATATGAAAAGGGCTGGGGTGTGGCTCAGTGGTTAAGCGCCTCTGGATTCAATCCTGTGTACAAAAAAAAAAAAAAAAATAGGGAACTTGTGACATAGGTGGAACCAGTGTGAGGAACAGTGGTGAGACAGGAAGGGAGGAAGACTGAGCCAGCGACACGGCTCCGGCAGCTCCTGTGCTCGGGCAGCAGCCTCAGGGTGCAGAGGGGTCCACCTGGGTTCCCACTGAGCAAGGGTGTCACTTACTCCCAGTCAGAGTCCTTCAGGGGGCGTTGGTGGCAATGTGACGACTTTATGGGATGTGACAAGAATATTTCCAAGGTCACCTGAGTGAAGAAATGAAAGAAAGTCCTGAGAAGGTGTGGAAAGCGAGTTGAGGAGGGGTTTCTTCTCCCGAACACAGCAAAGACATCAGTGCACAAGAGAGCCAGGGGCAGCACGGCTTTCTCAGAAGAGCATGTAGAGTGCAGATGACACCCCGACTTTATTGACTGACTTGYTTTTATGTGGTGCTGAGGAGTGAACCCAGCGCCTCTCCCGGGCCAGGCGAGCACTATCCACTGAGCCCAGCCCAGCCCCAACCTCAGCTTTAACGTGGAACCCACCTGCACATGCGTGAAAAGGAAAGCAGGGGAGGCCAGGGAAGGGGTGGACGTCCCCGTCATCAAACTGCCGTGTGAGGAACCAAAATCCCACGGAGGAGGTCGTGGGGAGATGGGGCGTTAGGGACGAGTCCACTGAAAGGGGTCTAGCTGAGGCTTTCTTCTTTAAAAAAAAGAGGTTGGTTCCTTTTAGATGTACGTGGCAGTAGAATGTGTTTGGACATATCACACATACGTGGAGTATAACCTCCCATTCCATGGTTGTACCTGACGTGGAGTTACACCTGTCATGGATTCACATAGACATAGGAGAGTTATGTCCGGCTCATTCTACTGTCTTTCCCTTCCCAGTCCCCATTCCTTCCCCCCATTCTTCCCTGTGCAATCAAGTGAACCTCCGCTCCCCCCTCCACCTAGTGCAAATCAGCATCTGCATATCAGAAGGAACATTTGGCCTTTGGATCTTTGTGCMTTGGCTTCTTTGACTTAGCATGGTAGTCTCCAGTTCCATTCTTTTACTGGCCAATGACATAATTATGTTTTTCTTTATGGCTGAGTAATATTTCATTGTGTGTATGGGCCACATTTTCTTTATCCATTCATCTGTTGAAGGGCACCTGGGTTGGTTCCATAGTTTAGCTATTGCAAATTGACCTGCTATAAACATTGTTGTGGCTGCATCACTRTAGTATGCTGACTTTAAGTCCTTTGGGTATAGACCAAGGAGTGGGATAACTGGGTTAAATAGTGGTTCTATTCCATGTTTTCTGAGGAATCTCCATACTGCTTTCCAGAGTGGTTGCACCAAATTGCAGTCCCACCAGCAATGGATGAGTGTGCCTTTTTCCCCACATCTTCACCAACATTTATTGTTATTTGTATTCTTGTTAATTGCCATTCTGATTAGAATGAGATGAAATCAAAGAGGAGTTTTAATTTGCAGTTATCTAATTGCTATTCATGTTGAACATTTTTTTTCATRTATTTGTAGGTCGATTGTATTTCTTCTTCTGTGAAGTGTCTGTTCAGTTCCTTTGGCCATTTATTAATCGGGTTATTTGGTTTTCTGGKGTTAAATTTTTTGAGTTCTTTATATATCCTGGAGATTAGTGCTCTGAGATGCAGGTGCCAAATATTTTCTCCCATTATGTAGAGTCTCTCTTCAMATTATTGATTGTTTCCTTTGCTGTGAAGAAGCTTTTTAGTTTGATACCATCCCATTTTTGATTCTTGATCTTACTTTTGTGCTTTAGGAGTCTTGTTGAGGAATTTGGTCCTAAGCTGACATGGTGGAGGTTTGGGACTACTTTTCTTCCAGTAGGCACAGGTCTCTGGTCTAGCCTAGGTCCTTGATTCACTTTGAGTTGATTTTTGTGCAGGATAAGAGATAAGGGTCTAATTTCATTTTGTTACATATGGATTTCCAGTTTTTCTAGCAGCATTTGTTGAAGAGGCTGTCTTTTCTCCAATGTRTGTTTATGGTGCCTTTGTCTGCAATTATGCATTTATGTGGGTTTGTCTCTGTGCCTTCTATTCTGTACCATTGGTCTTCATGTCTGTTTTGGTGCCAGTAACATKCTCTTTCTGTAACTATTGCTCTGTAGTATAGTGTAAGATCTGGKGTTGTGATGCCTCCTGCTTTACTTTTCTTGCTGAGGATCGCTTTGGCTGTTCTGGGCCTCTTGTTTTTCCAAATGAATTTCATGACTGCTTTTTCTATTTCTATGAAGAATATCCCAGATCATTAATGGGAATTGCATTAAATCTGTATAAAGCTTTAATTTAATTTAATTGCATTAAATCTGTACGGTCATTTTGACAATATCAATTCTGCCTATCCAAG